TACAGGTGTGACTTGGGCCAGCAGCATACCACCCTGCATCCCACTGCTGGCTTGGCTCTGAAGCTAAGCAGGGTTGGTCCTGGTCGGTCCCTGGATGGGAGACCAGATGCTGCTGGAAGTGGTGTTGGAGGGGCCAGTAGGAGGCGCTCTTTCCTCTGGTCTAAAAAAAAGTATAATATCCCAATGCCCCATGGCAGTGATAGGGGACATTGCCCTGTGTATGGTGCTGTTAAACGGGAGTCCTGACTCTCTGTGGTCACTAAAGATCCCATGGCACTTATCGTAAGAGTAGGAGTGTTTAACCCTGGTGTCCTGGCAAAATTCCCTAATCATCCCCAGCTTCCAATTGGCTCATTAATTCCCCTGTAACTATTCCCCAGGTTGTTGCTGTAAATGATCATGTGTTCCTCAGTCAACTGGTAAAATACAAGAGAAAGACTGACTGATGAAGGACCTCCACGACCCACAGCACGAGGTTTGTCAAGGTAAACATGGCCAGATGGTGTGGCTTGGTTAAGCAGATAGTAGTAGGCACAGAACATCAAAACATTTGTCCACATTAATGTCACTGATGAGTAGGAGTTTGTTGTTCAGAGAATTAGTATTAAAAAAAAATTAGCCGACTGGCTGGGCAATGTTGTTAAATTGCTGCAGTCAACACCACATTCAGTCACGAGAGAGGGAGACATACAGTTCTATGTGGACACTTTTGGTTTTGTGAGTGGATTGCCTACCTATAATAATAAATAATAATATAATATGCCATTTAGCAGACGCTTTTATCCAAAGCGACTTACAGTCATGCGTGCATACATTTTTTTTTTTTTTGTGTATGGGTGGTCCCGGGGATCGAACCCACTACCTTGGCGTTACAAGCGCCGTGCTCTACCAGCTGAGCTACAAAAAACCTAGTCAAGTTTTTTTCCTGTAGGAATCCAAGTTGAATAAGTCAAAACATTTTTTTACTCCTAACTCAGGGTTTGTTTTATTCCTCTTGAAACTACGAAGGAATCCTCCTGAGTAAAATATGTCCCCCACTCCTGTACTATATAGTTCTTCAGGAGGTAATAGGAGAATCACTTCAATGCAGGAATTGAAAAGTAAAAAAATCTGGCTAGCTGGACTTTGTTGATGGCAAAAACCCACTGGGCACATACTGGTTGAATCAACGTTGTTTCCATGTAATTTCAATGAAATTAAGTTGAACCAATGTGGAAGAACAGACATTGAATTGACATCTGTGCACAATTTCTTATCCGGTTTCTTCGTTGGAGGTTCAAAATGACTAGAATAAAACAATCAGTAAAACAAAAATGCACATGAAAAAACACTTAACTATCAAATCGCTAATGAAATAGCAGAGCAATCATCCTAAAGCTGCCATTAGGGCGTCATGGAAACCATTAAACAATGATGATTAACGGAACAATGACACCTACTTTATGAGTGATCCACTTCAACGTGTGTGGATACTGTGTGTGTGTGTGGATACAATGTGTGTGTGTGTATATATATATATATAAGTTCTATATTAGTTTGCACAGCCTGTAAATTGAAGACAATCTAAAAGTCAGAAATGCAGAGACACTTCTGAACAGAGATTTTATTTGTCAATTTCCAAGAGTGACCATTTTATACAAAATTATCCTAGTTTGCTATTACTACTGCAGTCCACCCCCTCCTCCCAAACTGAACCGGTCTACTTGGTATCCTATACAACTAGTCATTCATAAACTTCAGCAGCCATCAACTTAAAAAAAAACACACAAAAAAACATCATCGCTTTATTGTATTTGATAATATAGACGTCTGTACCTTTCCTCAGCAGAACCAGGAACAGCAGCTACAATCCTAATATGATAAATGACTCACGCCAGAAGACAAAACAATGATTTGACTCTGGCAATATCTTAATTAAACCTCGACTAGATGTAGAAGGTACAGACAGCGAGAGCAATGAAGTCATTTTCCAGCTGTTTTAGACTGTCCAGGTTTTATTTCAAAATCCGTGTGACATCATCAACATATCCCGAGCCTTTAAAAACAGGAGATTGGGTTATCTTGCAGATAGTATGTGATGCTGTAGGATTCAACCTTCCAAGGTCAGTCACGCTCAGGGGTGACGTTTCGCCTAAGTACAGGTCTAGGATCTGAGTCCACTTCTAAAAAATTTAAATTGTTTAAATTTTTAAATAAGAACTTCTCCAATCCTAAACTCAACCATTGGTTGGGGGGGGGGGGGGGGGGGGAAGCAGAACTGACCTAAGATCAGAAACTAGGGGGAAGTTCAACATACTCCAGCAGAGCAGAGCCGACACCCAAGGGGCACCAAACTGGATCCTGATCTCCTGTCATTAGTGTTAATAGAAAATCAGAGCAGTAAAACATTATTCTCATCAAAAAAAAATTATAATAAAACACTCACAGGGACATGGTGCAATTCATCATAAAACACATTTAAAAAATAAAATCTATCATTAAAACCGGGTTTGAAAAAAAATATATGTTTGAAATGTAACGTATTAGAAGAAAAGTGATATAGTAGTGATGATATAAAGAAATTCCTTGTCAGTGAAAGAGAACCGTGGTCTTCTCTCACTCTCCTGTCTGAAGGCACAGCAGCCTGGTCGGAGGTGTGTGTTCAGGAAGATCCATCTAGTCGAAGTGACACACTCTCTCCATTGCCATCAGGATACTGAGGAGGGAGACATGATCAGACTATGGAAGCAGCTCACCGGAAATGAAATAAACCTTGAACAAAAAAACCATTTTATAGCATTTATTTTTGGTCAATCAAATCAAATTGTATTTGTCACGTGCGTCGAATACAACAGGTGTAGACCTTACAGTGAAATGCTTACTTAGAAGCCCTTAACCAACAATGCAGTTTTAAGAAAGAATACCAAAATAAATAAATAAATAAATAATCTAAAAAAAAATACTATGTAAAATAATAATAGCAAATAATTAAAGAGCAGCAGTAAAATAACAGTAGGGAGGCTGTATACAGGAAGTACCGGTACCGAGTCAATGTGTAATAACAGTAGGGAGGCTGTATACAGGAAGTACTGGTACAGAGTCAATGTGTTAGTCGATGTAATAACAGTAGTGAGGCTGTATACAGGGGGTATCGGTACAGAGTCAATGTGTGGGGGCACCGGTTAGTCGAGGTAATATGTACATATAGGTCAGGGTTCTTCAATTCCGGTCCTGGTAGTTAATTGCACTCACCTGGTGTCCCAGGTCTGAATTAGCCCCTGATTAGAAGGAGAGGATGAAAAACAGAGGTGTTTCGGCCCTTCAGGACCGGAATTGAAGAACCCTGATGTAGGTAGAGTTATTAAGTAGATAATAATAATAATAAACAGAGTAGCAGCAGTGTAAAAAAGGGTGGGGGGGGGGGGGGGGGGGGGCAATGCAAATAGTCTGGGTAGCCATTTGATTAGATGTTCAGGAGTCTTATGGCTTGGGGGTAGAAGCTGTTTAGAAGCCTCTTGGACCTAGACTTGGCGCTCCGGTACCGCTTGCCGTGCAATAGCAGAGAGAACAGTCTATGACTAGGGTGGCTGGAGTCTTTGGCAATTTTTAGGGCCTTCCTCTGACACCGCCTGGTATAGAGGTCCTGGATGGCAGGAAGATTGGCCCCAGTGATGTACTGGGCCGTACGGCTTGCGGTCAGAGGCCGAGCAGTTGCCATACCAGGCAGTGATGCAACCAGTCAGGATGCTCTCGATGGTGCAGCTGTAGAACCTTTTGAGGATCTGAGGACCCATGCCAAATCTTTTCAGTCTCCTTAGGGGGAATAGGTTTTGTCGTGCCCTCTTCACAACTGTCTTGATGTGCTTGGACATGTTAGTTTGTTGGTGATGTGGACACCAAGGAACTTGAAGCTCTTAACCTGTTCCACTACAGCCCCGTCGATGAGAATGGGGGCGTGCTCAGTCCTCTTTTTTCCCCCTGTAGTCCACAATCATCTCCTTTGTCTTCATCACATTGAGGGAGAGGTTGTTATCCTGGCACCACACGGCCAGGTCTCTGACCTCCTCCCTATAGGCTGTCTCATCGTTGTCGGTGATCAGGCCTACCACTGTTGTGTCGTCGGCAAACGTAATGATGGTGTTGGAGTCGTGAAACTTGTCTTTATTGAAAAGCTTGAACTGACATTGATAGGAGTAACGCAAGGTTGGGGTCAATTCTAATTATGTTCAATGCTTTTCAATGAGGAAAATGTGGAATTGGAATTTGGTTAACTTTCTGAATTGACTGGAACAGAAATAGAACTGAACCCTAGTGTGAAGGTAGAAGGTAGGAGACTGATACAGTACCTTTCTGTTGGGTATCCTCCCTCACACAGGTTGACCAACGCATACAGGTGCCGCAGAGCGTACTCATACTGCAACGAGAACAAACACCACAACTTCTATATACTGTACTCTGATCTAACTTAAAATCACAACAATGAAGGTTCTCTAAATCTAGGGCAATCACCTACTAAATTCCTATTTGAGAGGAATGTACACAAAACATTTCCTGTTATACCGATCATACTGTGTAACATTTTAAAAACAGCCATGGTCATGTCTTGGGAGGGCATACATCCATTTAAAAATGTTCCTACTTGAGGAAATAGCCATATAAACTAGGCCTAGTTGACACCATCCACCCAGTGAGCCCGTTCCTTTGGGCCCTGGATTAAAAATAGTGCACTACATATATAGGGAACAGGGTGCCATTAGGGACGCAACCCTGGGGTACCCTGGGATGTGTCAGCGCTGGGGTACCCTGGGTTGTGTCAGCGCTGGGGTACCCTGGGTTGTGTCAGCGCTGGGGTACCCTGGGTTGTGTCAGCGCTGGGGTACCCTGGGTTGTGTCAGCGCTGGGGTACCCTGGGTTGTGTCAGCGCTGGGGTACCCTGGGTTGTGTCAGCGCTGGGGTACCCTGGGTTGTGTCAGCGCTGGGGTACCCTGGGTTGTGTCAGCGCTGGGGTACCCTGGGATTTGTCAGCGCTGGGGTACCCTGGGCCGGGCTGTACGTACCTCAGTGGTGTGCCAGTTGAAGCATTGTGTCTTGTAGTGTCTGACAGCAGCCTTGTAGCACTGGTCCTGGGTCAGATCCAGCTTGTCACTCAGAACCCTCCGAGTCAGTCTCTCGTCGCCCGTCACCCACTCCACCACCTTGCGCATCGTCTCTCCCAGCAGCTCACGCACCTATTGGACACACAGGACACAGACAATCAGAACAGGTCCCCACTTCTATGAAATAACAGAAGCATCTTATGATAAAGCCTGGGTCATGTTCATTAGGGCACAAAACAGAAAACAAACCAAAACAGAGCCAAGTGGGGAGGTACCATCTGAACTTCATTGAGGAACACGTCGGTTTCCGTTACGGTGTGCCCAAATGAATACAACCCAGGATTGTCAGGAAATAAATACTGCTAAAAAAACAACATTAAAAGTCAACGTTATTTCCTGTCCATTACCTTGAGGTGTGAGTTGAGCTGGCTGAGATACTTCCTGGCTGCGGCGATGTCGTTGGTGTTCATGAGTTTCCTCTTGAGGATGGCCAGGGGGACGTCAGGGCTGGGGGTCAGGTCTGGGTCCGCTACGGGCTGCAGGGTCACGGGGGGGGCAGGCTGGGCGTTGGCATTACCTTGGAACGCCATTACCTTCATATGGGCCAGAGTCTAGGGAAGGAGCACACAAACATAGTTATAGTTGGTTCAACACAGAGACACCCAGTTGGTTCAACACAGAGACACCCAGTTGGTTCAACACAGAGACACCCAGTTATTAACACAGAGACACCCAGTTATTAACACAGAGACACACCCAGTTATTAACACAGAGACACACCCAGTTATTAACACAGAGACACACCCAGTTATTAACACAGACACACACCCAGTTATTAACACAGACACACACCCAGTTATTAAGACAGACACACACCCAGTTATTAAGACAGACACACACCCAGTTATTAAGACAGACACACACCCAGTTATTAAGACAGAGACACACCCAGTTATTAACACAGACACACACCCAGTTATTAACACAGAGACACACCCAGTTATTAACACAGAGAGACACACCCAGTTATTAACACAGAGACACACACCCAGTTATTAACACAGAGACACACACCCAGTTATTAACACAGAGACACACACCCAGTTATTAACACAGAGACACACACCCAGTTATTAACACAGAGACACACACCCAGTTATTAACACAGAGACACACACCCAGTTATTAACACAGAGACACACACCCAGTTATTAACACAGAGACACACACCCAGTTATTAACACAGAGACACACACCCAGTTATTAACACAGAGACACACACCCAGTTATTAACACAGAGCGACACACCCAGTTATTAACACAGAGCGACACACCCAGTTATTAACACAGAGCGACACACCCAGTTATTAACACAGAGCGACACACCCAGTTATTAACACAGAGCGACACACCCAGTTATTAACACAGAGCGACACACCCAGTTATTAACACAGAGCGACACACCCAGTTATTAACACAGAGCGACACACCCAGTTATTAACACAGAGCGACACACCCAGTTATTAACACAGAGCGACACACCCAGTTATTAACACAGAGCGACACACCCAGTTATTAACACAGAGCGACACACCCAGTTTATTAACACAGAGCGACACACCCAGGTTATTAACACAGAGAGACACACCCAGTTATTAACACAGAGAGACACACCCAGTTATTAACACAGAGAGACACACCCAGTTATTAACACAGAGAGACACACCCAGTTATTAACACAGAGAGACACACCCAGTTATTAACACAGAGAGACACACCCAGTTATTAACACAGAGAGACACACCCAGTTATTACACAGAGAGACACACCCAGTTATTAACACAGAGAGACACACCCAGTTATTAACACAGAGAGACACACCCAGTTATTAACACAGAGAGACACACCCAGTTATTAACACAGAGAGACACACCCAGTTATTAACACAGAGAGACACACCCAGTTATTAACACAGAGAGACACACCCAGTTATTAACACAGAGAGACACACCCAGTTATTAACACAGAGAGACACACCCAGTTATTAACACAGAGCCACCCAGTTATTAACACAGAGCCACCCAGTTATTAACACAGAGCCACCCAGTTATTAACACAGAGCCACCCAGTTATTAACACAGAGCCACCCAGTTATTAACACAGAGCCACCCAGTTATTAACACAGAGCCACCCAGTTATTAACACAGAGCCACCCAGTTATTAACACAGAGCCACCCAGTTATTAACACAGAGCCACCCAGTTATTAACACAGAGCCACCCAGTTATTAACACAGAGCCACCCAGTTATTAACACAGAGCCACCCAGTTATTAACACAGAGCCACCCAGTTATTAACACAGAGCCACCCAGTTATTAACACAGAGCCACCCAGTTATTAACACAGAGCCACCCAGTTATTAACACAGAGCCACCCAGTTATTAACACAGAGCCACCCAGTTATTAACACAGAGCCACCCAGTCATTAACACAGAGCCACCCAGTTATTAACACAGACACACCCAGTTATTAACACAGACACACCCAGTTATTAACACAGACACACCCAGTTATTAACACAGAGACACCCAGTTATTAACACAGAGACACCCAGTTATTAACACAGAGACACACAGTTATTAACACAGAGACACCCAGTTATTAACACAGAGACACCCAGTTATTAACACAGAGACACCCAGTTATTAACACAGAGACACCCAGTTATTAACACAGACACACCCAGTTATTAACACAGACACACCCAGTTATTAACACAGAGCCACCCAGTTATTAACACAGAGCCACCCAGTTATTAACACAGAGCCACCCAGTTATTAACACAGAGACACCCAGTTATTAAGAGGGAGGAGCTACACATGCTATAAATGTATGCTCACTGTATTTTAAGTCTCTTTGAATAAAAAAAAGAAAAAAAAAAGTGTCTGCTAAGTGGTAGATATGATATATTATCCTAGTTAACTTTTCTTTTAGATTTAAAGCTAGACAGAATAGATTTGAAGCTTTTCCAGAATATATTGCGACTCGTCGTCGCTAGCCATTTCAAATGGGAATTCGGTTCGTCTTCCCTCTGAATCCATCACCTTGTTTCCAAACTGCATGACGTGGCTGCTGTTGGTTCGGCTCCTGACCATCTTGAACTGTTTCATCAGGGTCTCCTTCCTCAGGTCCTCCTGGACAACAGTCAGGTAGACAAAGACATTCATAACAGAAACTACTATGTGCAGCTATTTGAGTCTGATCCGAATACTTCATTTTTATGAATCTATAATTTTGTTAAAAAAACAAAACACAATCAGTAAATATGAATGGTTAACAGATGACATTGTTCAGAAACATTCTTGTTGAGGCGTGTGCTTTCCACTTTTTCTAAGGAATCAGAAGTTGTGTTCAGACGTGAAGCAGCACCACAGTCTTCCATCCAGTTAACAATGTCCCAGTCTCACCACATCAGTCTTCCATCCAGTTAACACTCTACCAGTCTCACCACAGTCTTCCATCCAGTTAACACTGTCCCAGTCTCACCACATCAGTCTTCCATCCAGTTAACACTGTCCCAGTCTCACCACAGTCTTCCATCCAGTTAACACTCTACCAGTCTCACCACAGTCTTCCATCCAGTTAACACTGTCCCAGTCTCACCACATCAGTCTTCCATCCAGTTAACACTGTCCCAGTCTCACCACATCAGTCTTCCATCCAGTTAACACTGTCCCAGTCTCACCACAGTCTTCCATCCAGTTAACACTCTACCAGTCTCACCACAGTCTTCCATCCAGTTAACACTGTCCCAGTCTCACCACATCAGTCTTCCATCCAGTTAACACTGTCCCAGTCTCACCACATCAGTCTTCCATCCAGTTAACACTGTCCCAGTCTCACCACAGTCTTCCATCCAGTTAACACTGTCCCAGTCTCACCACATCAGAGTCCTCCATCCAGTTAACACTGTACCAGTCCCCCAGGTAGGTGTCTCTCTCCTCATCATAGTAGCAAGCATAGGACGACTCATGAGAGTTGGCTGCTGTGGTGGCATACACTGAAGGAGAGAGAGACCGATTTATCAGACAGGTAGAGAGAGACCGATTTATCAGACAGGTAGAGAGAGACCGATTTATCAGACAGGTAGAGAGACCGATTAATCAGACAGGTAGAGACAGACCGATTAATCAGACAGGTAGAGAGAGACCGATTTATCAGACAGGTAGAGACAGACCGATTAATCAGACAGGTAGAGAGAGACCGATTTATCAGACAGGTAGAGAGAGACCAATTTATCAGACAGGTAGAGAGACCAATTTATCAGACAGGTAGAGAGACCGATTTATCAGACAGGTAGAGACAGACCGATTTATCAGACAGGTAGAGACAGACCGATTAATCAGACAGGTAGAGACAGACCGATTAATCAGACAGGTAGATAGAGATTTATCAGACACCGACTTACAGCTTTTCTGAATTTGAGAGGACTGTGTGTTCTGAAAGATGAGACGTGGAGGATTATAATAAATACCGCTTTGATGTCGTACTAGGAAGCCAATTTCCATATCATAAAACTCATGTCATATACAGTGTCAACGTCTACGATCACTACGTTTGATGTACAGTTACCAGATAACATGGCGTCATGCAGTGGGATGTTCTGAACTGAATGAGCCTGTTTGTCTATTCTGAAGAACATGTGCAGCAGAACACTCATGACTCTTTTATACGCACACCAAAATCACGATCGGTTTCTCTGAATTGCCTTGTGAAAGCCTGACACTTTTTTGTATTTTTGTATTTTACCTTTATTTAACTAGGCAAGTCAGTTAAGAACAAATTCTTATTTACAATGACGGCCTACACCGGCCAAACCCGGACGACGCTGGGCCAATTGTGCGCCGCCCTATGGGACTCCCAATCACGGCCGGTTGTGATACAGCCTGGAATCGAACCAGGGGGTCTGTAGTGACGCCTCAAGCACTGAGATGCAGTGCCTTAGACCGCTGCGCCACTCGGGAGCCCCCTGTAGGATACATATCAAACTTCGCTAGTCATGTTGGCAATAGAACAAGCCTGACCCAGATTGCGATTTATAATGGGCCGTTTTTTGGAATGCGTAAACAACAGTAACTGTGATAGCGGGGATGCAGGGCTGTGTTCAAAACAACAACAGTAACTGTGATGGCGGGGATGCAGGGCTGTGATGGCGGGGATGCAGGGCTGTGTTCAAAACAACAAGTCTGCCTGCTCTAGTTCCTCAATGGCACAGCTAGGAGAGCTTAAAATAGCACCTTCTAGTTGAAGACTCTTGAGTCATAAAAGTGCATTGAAATTACTTAGAAACTGTGCACACTTTGGAGAGGTGTGTGGCCACTTGGAGACACCAGTTAATCCTCTCACTCAAACCCTTGGCATTTAAAAAAAATGTTGCACCAACCACAAATGTCCCATGAATATTCTAATAATGTTACTGAATGAATCCAGAGTATTTTAAGATTTCATTATCAACAAAATGTGGCGAAAAGTACTGTAAATGTAAAATGCATATAAAATCAAAAGCGTAATGTTTGGATTCAGTCTGGAGTCAGGTGAACTGTTGTGTCCTCAACTCGTTTAATAATTTTCCCATAATCTCCAAACTGTTCCTTTCAATTGCTACCATGCTTATGTATATGCTTTTCATATTTCTTCTATAAGAAACATGTCAATATGCCCCATCCAGATTGGCCAATCCCCAGCAGTGTAAACGTTAACCAGGAATAATATGGTGAGGAGCCCATATTATCGTCGTAGGCATATTTAAAAAGAGCTGACTACGACAGTCTATAGACAGGACAAGTCCTGTGATGTGTCTAGGGGCAGAGTTAAGGAACGGTCAAAGAGCGGTCAACCTTGCCACAGTCACGAGGAACGGTCAACCTTGCCACAATCACGAGGAATGGTCAACCTTGCCACAATCACGAGGAACGGTCAACCTTGCCACAATCACGAGGAACGGTCAACCTTGCCCACAGTCACGAGGAACGGTCAACCTAGTCACAAGGAACGGTCAACCTAGTCACGAGGAACGGTCAACCTAGTCACGAGGAACGGTCAACCTAGTCACAGTCATGAGGAACGGTCAACCTAGTCACAGTCACGAGGAACGGTCAACCTTATCACGAGGAACGGTCAAGTGCATCTTTTATTTATTGATATCCGTGTGGTCGGGTTTCGTTCCTGGAAAGTGGTAGAGTCACAGGGAGGTTCAAGTGCAGCGGCAGAGTAACTCACCATCGATGTCAGCGGGCAGCTTGGTCATCATTGATCCTGACTCACAGGCCTCGATATAGAACACCAACTGAAAACAAGTGGAGTCAGTCGATACCACATTCTCCTGTACTATCAATGGAAATACCTCTATGACATCATGCAGTCAGTCGATTCCACACTCTCCTGTCCTATCAATGGACATACCTCTATGACATCATGCAGTCAGTCGATACCACATTCTCCTGTCCTATCAATGGAAATACCTCTATGACATCATGCTCTCCACAATATTTAAATCAACTGGAGAACTGAGAAGAAAATCATGAATAAACAATCTGAGTCATAAAACAAGTTTGATGCTCGCAATATAGTAGAATCAGATTTAAAATCAAAATCAGATTTTTTTTGAAAACAGATAAAAAAAACACACCTAACATGCTGACCAGAACGGGTACACGCGTGCATCCGTGTCCGCCATCGCACACGCATGTTGATTTTGTCCATCCACACGCGACGCGATCAGGACACGCAGGTTGAAATACCAAGACAAACTCTGAACCAACTATATTAAATTTGGAGACAGGTCAAAAACATTCATGGCAATTTAGCTAGCTAGCTTGCTGTTGCTAGCTAATTTGTCCTGGGATATAAACATTGGGTTGTTATTTTACCTGAAATGCACAAGGTCCTCTACTCCGACAATTAGCTCAATTGGTAGAGCATGGCGCTTGTAACGCCAGGGTAGTGGGTTCGATCCCCGGGACCACCCATACGTAAAAATGTACGCACACATGACTGTAAGTCGCTTTGGATAAAAGCGTCTGCTAAATGGCATATTATTATTAATTAATATACAGATAAAAGGGTAAACAGAGTTTGTTTCTAGTAATCTCTCCTCCTTCAGGCTTCTTCTTCATTGGACTTTATTTGGCGGTTGGCAACCGACTTTAAGGTGCATTACCACCACCAACTGGACTGGAGTGTGTACCTCAGTTCACCTTTCAAATCACCCACGTGGGTATGTGCTCTTAAAAACCAAATGAGGCGATGGGAGAGGCAGGACTATTTTAGCCGTCTGGTTACGCAGACGCTCGTTGACGCGCGCGAGCAGTCTGGATGAAATTATTAAATAACATGTATGTGTACATTTATTTCGACAACGCTCGCGGTGTGGTCAGCATGTTATGGAACAGCGGGGACTGTGAAGAGACACAATGGTACAGACACACGCATACAAACGCTACAACACGCACTCTACACACACGTACATTGTAATATTGTTGTATGGTGGTATTAAACATTTTGTATTGTAGATATGTAGTGGTGTAATAAATGTTATATGATGTACTGTTTTATCTTTTGTTTTATATGTAATGTAAGTGCTTTAATGTGTTTGGTCCCCAGGAAGAGTAGCTGCTGCCTTGGCAGGAACTAATGGGGATCCATAATAAACCCCAGGAAGAGTAGCTGCTGCCTTGGCAGAAACTAATGGGGATCCATAATAAACCCCAGGAAGAGTAGCTGCTGCCTTGGCAGAAACTAATGGGGATCCATAATAAACCCCAGGAAGAGTAGCTGCTGCCTTGGCAGAAACTAATGGGGATCCATAATAAACCCCAGGAAGAGTAGCTGCTGCCTTGGCAGAAACTAATGGGGATCCATAATAAACCCCAGGAAGAGTAGCTGCTGCCTTGGCAGGAACTAATGGGGATCCATAATAAACCCCAGGAAGAGTAGCTGCTGTCTTGGCAGGAACTAATGGGGATCCATAATAAACCCCCCAGGAGAGTAGCTGCTGCCTTGGCAGGAACTAATGGGGGATCCATAATAAACCCCAGGAAGAGTAGCTGCTGCCTTGGCAGGAACTAATGGGGATCCATAATAAACCCCAGGAAGAGTAGCTGCTGCCTTGGCAGGAACTAATGGGGATCCATAATAAACCCCAGGAAGAGTAGCTGCTGCCTTGGCAGGAACTAATGGGGATCCATAATAAACCCCAGGAAGAGTAGCTGCTGCCTTGGCAGGAACTAATGGGGATCCATAATAAACCCCAGGAAGAGTAGCTGCTGCTGCCTTGGCAGGAACTAATGGGGATCCATAATACAAATACAAATATTCCTGTACTATCAATCAGAATACCTTTAGTCTAAGATCAACATTAACGTCATTTTGGCATGTTGTTCCACAGGATTTCATCAACTTGCAGCACGTCTGGGCATGTGACGATATGTCCTCCATGTCCACAAACTATAACAAGTTGAACTTCCGCACCTTTTTGTATTTATTGTTCTCATGCATGTAGTTGATAGCAGCCATGAGGTCGGCAACATGAAGCTGTAGAAAGAAAAAAATAAAACAGACCATTTAATTCACAAAACTTAATTTCATTTGTGTTTTTTTTCCCCAGTACAATAAAATTTATTTTTAGCTTAAAAACCAAAAAGAGGCACTAGACCCCATGAGGTCAAGCCACAAAAGTAAATCACAAGAGAACATTACTTTTATTCATCCAGGCTTAAATATTAGACCTTTATGATAGACTCATAAACTGTTCTGAATGGCAGTTAAAACACAGTCCCGTGTAGCTCAGTTGGTAGAGCATGGCGTTTGCAACGCCAGGGTTGTTGGTTCGATTCCCACGGGGGGCCAGTATGAAAAATGTATGTACTCACTAACTGTAAGTCGCTCTGGATAAGAGCGTCTGCTAAAATGACTTAAATGTAAAATGGCTATATGGCAGCTGTCTATTTCACAGGGCAGAACTAGGTCATTCATCCAGCCATCCATTTGAAGAGGAAGAAGTGTCCCAAATGGCTCCCTATATAGTGCACTACTTTTGGCCAGGGCCCTGGGAATAGGGAGCCATTGTGACAGGAAGTGTAAAAGTGTTTACATCATCATTGGGGAAGGCCAGCAGACCAGGCGCTCCGTGATCCGTGAAGTACACAAACACATGATCGTTGGGACCGCTGCCAACAGGAAGAGAAAGGTAAGTGGAACAAGCTTTCTTTGAACAAAGGTCAACTGAAAGACGACACAATCACATTTTCCAGCGAACACAAGTAAACTATGGAAACGTTCCCCTGAAAAAACAAAACAATGAAACATTCTGTCCAGAAACGTTATAACGATACAATATATCGTTGTTCTAACAATGATTTTCATGTCATTTTAGAAGTCTACCTTAAACGTTTTGGAATAACTCTCCCCTACAGTGGCATTTCTATGATATATTCCAACCCTCCTCCATTCCCTCCCTCAAACCCTTTTCACCTCTCATTACTTGCCTCTTCAGCACATTCCCAGAACCCCCCTTTGTACTTGCAGAGTCCCCCTTCAGCACCGCCAGGAAGTTGTCAGAGGTCACAGCCTGCAGGGTACAAACAGGTCATTAGGAGACAGAAAACTAAACATGACATGATAGTGAACATTACACTAGTACTGTTTGTACCCAGAAGATATCAGTAACCGAAAGGTCGCTGGTTCTAATCCCCGAGCCGACTAGGTGAAAAATCTGCCGATGTGCCCTTGAGCAAGGCACTTAACCCTAATTGCTCCTGTAAGTCGCTCTGGATAAGAGCGTCTGCTAAATGACCGTAATGTAATGTAATATCTCAGCAGTTTATTTTGTATAAAACCATTGATTGTTGTTGATAGTGATATTAGCTCCATACACACAAAAAAAAAAGAGTCATTTTAAAAATGTTCCATCCACTCACCTCTCCGGTATAGTCTTTGGGGACTCCCTTGTAGACGTCTGTCCCATTGGGTCTGTTGATCACCTCCCCTGGGGTGGGGTTCCTGAAAACAAACAGTGTAAATAACCTGAATCAGATACATGCCTGGAGGCAACACAGGACAGACCATCTATTATATGACCGTAAAACCCTACAGGACAACCATACATTCCCTTCCAACGTGACCTTAAGCAAAGCACTTAACCCAAAACTACCTCCGGGGTAGTGTACTGTGGCTGATCTGTGTGTGTGTGTGTGTGTGGGGTGGGGGGTGGGGGGTGGGGGTACTGTAAAACATGTACTCTATGACAATACCCAATAGCACTGTAATATATGGATAATTCCAATGCCAGTGATGATGGCGCTTAGGTGACAGACGTATGACAGCTTGGTAATATGAATAGTCTCCTTATCAAAACCACAGTATCACTTCCTCTTTCCTCCAATAACAGGAATCACGGTGTCATTCAGTCCAACCGTAGTTCAAGATACCGAAACCCTAAGCATCATGATTCTGTCGTCCCTGATGTTTGTTTCAATTCAGAGTTAATCCTTAAGCCTACTTGACAGGGTTAATCCTTAAGCCTACTTGACAGGGTTAATCCTTAAGCCTACTTGACAGGGTTAATCCTTAAGCCTACTTGACAGGGTTAATCCTTAAGACTACTCGACAGGGTTAATCCTTAAGCCTACTCGACAGGGTTAATCCTTAAGCCTACTCGACAGGGTTAATCCTTAAGCCTACTTGACAGGGTTAATCCTTAAGCCTACTTGACAGGGTTAATCCTTAAGCCTACTTGACAGGGTTAATCCTTAAGCCTACTTGACAGGGTTAATCCTTAAGCCTACTTGACAGGGTTAATCCTTAAGCCTACTTGACAGGGTTAATCCTTAAGCCTACTTGACAGGGTTAATCCTTAGCCTACTTGACAGGGTTAATCTTACGACGCTACTACTGACAGGGTTAATCCTTAAGCTACTTGACAGGGTTAATCCTTAAGCCTACTTGACAGGGTTAATCCTTAAGCCTACTTGACAGGGTTAATCCTTAAGCTACTGACAGGTTAATCCTTAAGCCTACTTGACAGGGTTAATCCTTAAGCCTACTTGACAGGGTTAATCCTTAAGCTACTTGACAGGGTTAATCCTTAAGACTACTTGACAGGGTTAATCCTTAAGCCTACTTGACAGGGTTAATCCTTAAGCCTACTTGACAGGGTTAATCCTTAAGACTACTTGACAGAGTACAGTAGAGCAGAACGTTGATGTAATAAACATTACAGGATCAACATGGATCAATAGAAGTGACAGGGGACATAAGAACGTAGTCACTGGACAGTGTCATGACCTTTTTGGACAATCAGAGCCTTACAAGCGTGCCGTGAGAAGGCCCAACTCCCTTTCCAGGGCGGTCCTGTCCACCGAGAGAGATACACGGCGAACGAAGACATTTCATGTAAATCCATTCATGATTTCTTACTCAAAGCGGGCGGCGGTTCGTGTACCAAGTATGTAATTACTGTAGGTGAGAGTCGTTTCTGAATGCGTCAAGGTTAAGTGTCTCTGTCCCTCTCTTTCTATCTCTCATTGTCTTCTGTTTAAAAAGAAGCCATGTTGTTGTCATTCCGCTAGGGACCTGTTTTCGCCAGTCAATAACCGGTGCATGTTTATCCTGTGTTCCCATTTAATTAGCTAGTAAATAAAATCATTAAACCAATTTGTGTGGTATTGAATCATAAGTAAGGCTCGGGTTTTTGCAGATGCAAGGAGGTTATGACTTTCAGAACGATGATATGATACATTTTAGTCATTTAGCAGACGCTCTTATCCAGAGCGACTTACAGTTAGTGCATACATTTTTTTTTTTTTCATACGGATACGAGGTTATGATTAATAAGTTGACTGTTTATAGATGTGATAGGTGAAGACCTTTTAGAGTTTATCATCTCGGGAGATGGTGACTCTTTTAAAGAACTGCTCTCGTGGTGCCCCAGATCCTAATTAGTTAATTGTTACATGATTCATTTAAAAATCGGGTAACAATTAAACATAGTGATATAGAAATTAAAATATATACAGGTTAAAAGTAATGACTAAATGTTCCATCCTTAAATATAGTTGTGAAATGTTCTTGTTTTAAGTATGATTAGTACTTTCTTGGTAGTGACTAATTATTACACTCTGAAACTGTGTGAGATGTGTTAGAATCTACTACCTGGTAATGTGTGAGTGTAGGACCAGTAAAGATTATGACCTTGTGCTACTATTTAGCAATGTGAGTAAGAGTTAGGCCAGACAACAAAGGACAATGAGAACTGTCTACAGACAACTGAGAAACCAAGATAAAGAGGCCTCCCAATTTAGGGAGGAGAGAGACTATGATAAGGAAATGTGTGTGTGTATGTATGTATGTATGTATGTGTGTGTGTGTGTGTGTATGTGTGTGAACTGATGGTCAGGAGAGCAGTTTTAAAGTGGAAAACTACAGCCCGCCTACAGAGGGGTGGGAGTTTTGCATGACGTGTGCGTATAAAAACATATTGTATGACCATTTTGTGGCAGAATTCTCAATGAATAAAGATATCTGACTATTGCAACTGGGAGCTCTGTCCTTTTCTTGATCCAAAAGCCGCACAACCTTTTGGGAGACGCACAGAGACACTGAAATAGTTTGTTAAATAATTATAATAACACATAGTTAGTTAATTAGAGATAACAGTCTTCAGATTAATGTTCAAGTCACGTCACGACAACAGTAAAAACTCAAAAAGGTTTTGACCGACATCAAGACACCTCCTGCATCAAAGTAGGTCAATGAAAGTGTAACAAAGTCTATCTAGTGATGTGTCATTCAATGACAGATGAACAGCTCCAATAACTGCTTTAAGCATCAGTTATCAGAGCACCTTACCGATCACTGCACCTGTACACAGCCCATCTGAAATTAGCCCACCCAACTACCTCATCCCTATATTGTTATTTATTTTGCTCTTTTGCACCCCAGTATCTCTATTTGCACATCATCTCTTGCACATCTAGCATTCCAGTGTTAATACTATTGTAATTATTCTGCACTATAGCCTATTTATTGCCTTACCTCCATAACTTGCTACATTTGCACACACTGTATATATATTTTCTGTTGTATTTCTGACTTTGTTTTTTTTACCCCATATGTAACTCTGTGTTGTTTTTATTGCACTACTTTGCTTTATCTTGGCCAGGTCGCAGTTGTAAATGAGAACCTGTTCTCAACTGGCTTACCTGGTTAAATAATGGTGAAATAAAATAAAAAAATAAAAAATTATGACTTACCGATGACCGATGTTGCTACGAACTACTAAACAATTAGAGAGAATGACACAATCAGATTTTTAGATCATCATCTTCAGCATCTAACCCAGCTCATGAGTCTCCTGTCTCCCATCTAGGGCCCATAACTCCCAGGCGAGAGGAGAGCAGGCTAAATGACATCCTTGTGACTGCCACAGAAGCATCTCAGAGTTCCAAGATGTTTACCCTAGGGTCTGAAAGCAGCTTATAGACAAGCACAGGGCCTGGCTGTCTGCATACCAAAGCCATGTGAGGACAGGGTTTAGGCCCATCTGTGCATCCAAAGCAAGGATGATGTTTATGCTCTGCTTTCGTCTCAAGAACGCAACTATTGCAGAACAAACTCGTACTAACGGTCTCATGCTGAGAGGACTGTACGGCTATGGTGAGAATATATGTATGGCTGGGCGATATGGCCAAAATATCATATCACAATATTTTTCAAATGTTTAACAGTATGACGGTATTTTATGTTTTTGATTAATAAAAGTTCTAAATGTGCTTTATGAGTAGTGTGTGACCCTAGGGTGGCAACACATACATTCTAAGTGATTTCAAATGGTTCTCCATTGTGATTGTTTTATGAAAATGTATGCATTCACTAACTGTACATCGCTCTGGATAGGAGCGTCTGCTAAAATGACTAAAAAGTAAAATATACTGTTCAATTGAACTTCAACCCAAAATAATTTCCTGCATTTTCATAGATTTCTGCATTTCCTACACTCATTTGAGACAATTTCCACACTGCCACGTAGGGCTGTACGATATGGGCCAAAGCTCCAGGCCTTATTTTTAACCAAATGTAGCAATTGAGATTTGACTTGCGATTTAGATCAATTCAATTGGGTGAACTGTTGGAATCATGGAAATATAATATCTATTCTAATTCTATAGTTAGAATATAAATAAATACTGGGCACTTTGAATATAGTGTTTGACATGACAACGAACGAAAATGCCAGGAAGTAGTTATTGTGACAGGGTAGGAACCATAGTGTTGGTCAGTGTTTGGCTACATTAAAATGTTTCTTCATGTAGCCAACATATTCATGCTTCGCCTATTCCTCTTTGATTTATAAAAGATACTGTTGCACAAACAACATGCTGATTCATGCCTACACCAGCACTGGTAACAGGCTGTATTAACTAGCTACGTTAGCTCTGACAGTACATTTATTAGCTCGCTAAATAGCTAGCTAACTAGCGATTAGCGGCTAACACAATTAAGCAAAAACATGCTAAGAAAAGACAAAACTAGCCGTTTGCAGATGTAAGAAACACAAACTAATTGTGTAATTATAGAACACTTGTGGATTTATATTAAGAAGCAAAAGTGGAAACATCGTTTTCATCAACATTGTTGCATGTGGTGAATTGACCATACAGACTGAACGCAAGTGTCTTGTGGTCAAGCAACAACAAATGGAGGCATATCACATTTAACAAACCAAACATTCAAATACCGTTATAGAAGGTAAAGTAAAAACCCAAACCGGTCCATGCATCAATATCGGTGTATAGTAAAATACTGTGTACCACCAAGCCCTAAATATATGTCCTGACAGTCATCCTTTATATCGTTATATATAGGCTTAGAGATGGTTGATTAAATTAATTGTTGATGTCGCCCAACCCTAGGACACCGTTTAGATGGAGAACAGAAATAACAAGGAAGATAAATACTCACTCCTCATTGGTTGCCAGATCATCATACATCATCACAACAATCTGCTCGTCAGGGATGCCATTCTTGTGGACGATCTGGTACGCATGGCACGCGTCAGCCTAGGAAGATAAATAAGGTACTGCAAGTCAACGAATGAGCTCCATCACATTCTGATAATTGAAAATCAACTGAGGAGATTGGGGGCTTATTGAGTATATTGTGTTTAATGATTATTATGTAACTTTCTTTTCCAGCAACGCTTGATACAATGCTGTAACTACATAGTAGGAGGCCACTGGCAGGTCTGTGTGCATAGTCTCAAATAGCCTACAGTAAATACTCACTCTACTGATTAAGTGTAAATGTGGTAACAGATTGTACATGTACTAACTTGAACTTCACTCTTACCTGGTGTCTGTAGTTGTACCAGCCATTGGAGCCAGCGACAATCACCACCCAGTTCTTCCCGTTTTCAGGCTGCTGAGTGGGGAAAGCATTAGCCACCAGTCCTATACCGAGTCCCAGAAGGGCTAGAGTCAACGTAAACATGATCCTCTCCCAGTGTCCGTCTGTGTCCTGGAAAAGGATAATATGAGGTAATGTGTACATGTAGGTAGGGGTAAAGTGACTATGCATAGATAATAACAGAGAGTAGCAGCAGTGTAAAAGAGGGGGGGGGGGGGGCAATGCAAATAGTCCGGGTAGCCATTTCATTAGATGTTCAGGAGTCTTATGGCTTGGGGGTAGAAGCTGTTTAGAAGCCTCTTGGACCTAGACTTGGCGCTCCGATACCGCTTGCCGTGCGGTAGCAGAGAGAACAGTCTATGACTAGGGTGGCTGGAGTCTTTGGCAATTTTTAGGGCCTTCCTCTGACACTGCCTGGTATAGAGGTCCTGGATTGCAGGAAGCTTGGCCCCAGTGATGTACTGGGCCATACGGACTACCCTCTGTAGTGCCTTGCGGTCAGAGGCTGAGCAGTTGCCATACCAGGCGGTGATGCAACCAGTCAGGATGCTCTCGATGGTGCAGCTGTATAACTTTTTGAGGATCTGAGGACCCATGCAAAATCTTTTCAGTCTCCTGAGGGGGAAATGGGCTTTGTCATGCCCTCTTCATGACTGTCTTGGTGTGTTTGGACCATGATAGTTTGTTGGTGATGTGGACACCAAGGAACCTGAAGCTCTCAACCTGCTCCACTACAGCCCTGTCGATGAGAATGGGGGCATGCTCAGTCCTCCTTTTCCTGTAGTCCACAATCATATCCATGTGCTACACAAGTTACTAGCTAGATGTTTAGGTTGTGTCTCCAAGGTCTTGCACGGTCAACGATGATACTCGCACGTTCTTTTGGCAAATACTAGTTAGCTACTTAACTACTGCGAAAGTTTAGCAAAGCCATAGCATAACTAATGCTACGTTTAGATGAGGGACGCAAAAAAATCTTCATACCAGGCGGCATAGCCGGACAAGAAAGCAAGACGGACGGTGACAGCAAAACCAAGCCAGTATGCGTTGCTGTGGTGATTACAGTAAACGAAACAGTGCAAATCAACATCCGGTAGAAAATAACGCTACGACAGACGGCAAAAGTTGAAATATTCTTACTCTCTCGGCAAGGCCCGTCTTACGGTGGCGGCTGACCGCATTAACCGTCGTGCTCTCATTGAAAACAATGACATCCGGGTTTACCGTCTACCTCGTACCATCTAAAAGCAGCATAAGTTCTGTTGATCCTGTGGCTGCCAACCAACATTGCTAAGTTAGCTGTTAGCTACGCCATCCGTTTTCAAAACACAGGTAGCTACAAGTAGCACATTATATCACTGTAAATTCTCTAAAGTTAGCTATTTTTAGAGGTGTCATCGAAAAGTTAAACGGTTTGATTACCTTTTTTTTAAACTTATTTGTTGCTATCAGGAAGACTCCGATGTCGTGTGTAGCTGGGGAATACTAGGAGACAGGATTTTTATGCAAGTATTGGTGTTGGGTAAAAAGGTTCGGGTTTTGCTGGACAGCCAATCCGGTTGAGGGGTATGATGATTGGAAACACATGATACAAATCATGCGCTTTCTCGCTTTCTTTGATAAAATGAGTTATCAGTATCTTTCATAATACTGTCTTTACAGCTTAAACAAATAAGATATATTTTGTTTTAAATATAGCTTTTCTATATTAGGTTATACTATAGTAACAATTTCGACAAAGGTTGGTTTTGATTTCATTTCATGAGGAAGACACTTATTATGCAATGTGTTATATGTATGCAAAATAAAACAGTACTGTTTACATATGTTTGAATAACTGCAAAGGAGTGTTTATTTTAGTCACTAGTGTGTTATACTGTAAATCACCCAAATAACACAGATGTGCAGAATATATACAAATATATGATGCACTTCGCTTGTCTCTCAATAACCTCCCATATTGGCACCGTCTTGTGACCCATTTCTATGAAAAAAAATATTTTATTGGACTGCTCAGCAGAAATTGCACAGCGACATCCTGAACACAATAGATACCTCGTGACAAGTTTTATTTGAGCGTCCAATCCACTCAGTTCAGCACCTGTCCTGTGTACTGTGGAACTAAGGTGAAATGTGCCTATACTTCTCCTGTTCTAGTTGGCTCTCCATTGATCCTGCAAATGGCCCTGGTCTAGACATACTGCTGCGGTGTCAGTCATGACACAGCACACTCATTATGGAACACTTTCAAATCCAGTTTCAAATCAGTATTATTATTATTTGTTATTCTCAATAGTAAGTTGTTCCTTTGTGTATCTGAATAATAGTGTGTATGTTATTGACTGAAATGTTAACATATATATATTTTCATAGGACATATATATTTTTAAATTCCACATAAATTGATACCAATAGCTAGGTTTACATCCAAATGGCGACAGGTGTTAATGCTAATATTCTAAAATTAGCATAAAGAAAATATTTTTCCACCAGTAATGCGTTTCTACCAAACGGACTTGTTGCGGCTAAAAATCAGTGCGTGATGACGTGGTGCACACAAAATCTACTTTTTTGCTTAAAAATCTAACATTCAATGTGTTTCCATCACATTTTCAACTTTACCGGAGGTTGTCAGAAAAAATTTTAAATAGCAAATTTGCCTACACTGTTCTTGGCATGTGCTCTCTAGCCAACAGCTCGTATATAAAGTGCGGGTAGGCTATTCTACATGATGAGATTATTATGGGTAAGAGCGAGAATATTTTTATTTGTCAAATGCAGTAAAGCATCGATCATCATGTCACCAGAATAAGACCCTCGATATTTATTGGAAACGCTCATCATGTGCATTTTCAACACCCTGTGAAGTCCCCTGTAGCTCAGTTGGTAGAGCATGGCGCTTGCAACGCCAGGGTTGTGGGTTCGTTTCCCACGGGGGGGGCAGTATGAAAAATGTATGCACTCACTAACTGTAAATCGCTCTGGATAAGAGCGTTTGCTAAATGACTAAAATGATTTATTTAATCTGTAGCCTAATAAACTGCATGGTTTGCCAAATCCTAGTGGTAGGAACACCAAATCATCACGTGACTTCGATATGATGGTTATTATACTGAACAAAAATATAAACGTAACATGTTGGTCCCATGTTTCATGAGCTGAAATAAAAGAAACAAGAAATGATCCATGCACCCAAAATGCTTAATTCCATCAAATTTTGTGCGAAAATTTGTTTACATCCCTGTTAGTGAGCATTTCTCCTTTACCAAAATAATCCATCCACCTGACAGGTGTGGCATATCAAGAAGCTGATTAAACGGCATGATCATAACACAGGTGCACCTTGTGCTGGGGACAATAAAAGGCCACTCTAAAAATGTACAGTTTTGTCACACTACACAATGCCACAGATGTCTCAAGTTTGGGGGAGCGTGCAATTGGCATGCTGACTGCAGGAATGTCCACCAGAGCTGTTGCCAGAGAATTGAATGTTGATTTTTGAGAATTTGGCAGTATGCCTCACAACCGTAGCATGTAACCACGCCAGCCCAGGACCTCCACATCCGGCTTCTTCACCTGCGGGATCGTCTGAGACCAGCCATCCAGACAGCTGATGAAACTGTGGGTTTGCACAACCGAAGAATTTCTGCACAAACTGTCAGAAACCGTATCAGGGAAGCTCATATGTGTGCTCGTTGTTCTCACCAGGGTCTAGACCTGGCTGCAGTTCGGTGAATCCCGGTTTCAACTGTACCGGGCTGATGGCAGACAGTGTATGGCGTCGTGTGGGCGAGCGGTTTGCTGATGTCAACGTTGTGAACAGTGTCCCATGGTGGGGTTATGGTATGTATGGGCAGGCATAAACTATGGACAACGCAACTGTCGTGTAGCGTCGGCTGCTGGTGGTTATTGCTGTCAAACAAAGAGTCCGCTTAGGCTGCACCTTGATTAGAAGTTTTTATTCATATCACAAGTTTACAGCATAAGTTTACAGACCCGCGGTGTCTGGAGAAGCACCGTCCCAAAATAATCTGAATGCTTCTGACCCCCTCTTTGTCTAGCTCATACTTATATAAACAATGCCAAAAAATGGGTTGCTCCCTCTGCCGTCCAATCACCTATCCCCCCTGGGGTGTCACCCTACAACTGCTACATTTGAACTAAGATAAACATATTTTCTTTGTCCCTCTAGAATAGTCATAATCTTCATACACGACACAACGCACATAATTGCATTTTATTGACGGCAATTTGAATGCACTGAGATACCTTGACGAGATCCTGAGGCCCATTGTCATGCCCTTCATCCGTCTCCATCACCTCATGTTTCAGCATGATAATGCACGGTCCCATGTTGCAAGGATATGTACACAATTCCTGGAAGCTGAAAATGTCCCAGTTCTTCCATGGCCTGCATACTCACCAGACATGTTACCCAACTTCGCACAGCCATTGAAGAGGAGTGGGACAACATCCCACAATCAACAGCCTGATCAACTCTATGCAAAGGAGATGTGTCACGCTTCATGAGGCAAATGGTGGTCACACCAGATACTGACTGGTTTTCTGATCCACGCCCCTACCTTTTTTCTAAATTATCGTGACCAGCAGATGCATATCTGTATTCCCAGTCATGTGAAATCCATAGGTTAGGGCCTAATTTATTTATTTAAACTGACTGATTTCCTTATATGAACTGTAACTCAATCTTTGAAATTGTTGCATTTATATTATTTTTCAGTGTATATCAATATTTGCGCATAAAGGATTTTCCACCGACATGTCTCGCAGAATTAATTTTACCAACACAAAAAGATCCCACGTCAAATGAACTAATTATGTCGGCATGAAACAACTCTATGGAAACGTGGTTAGTGACACTATTTTTAGAACTCTTTGTATATAAAAAGATACACCAGCTGTAAATCAAACGCTTTTTATTTCTCCATATAGAAAAAGAATAAAGTTAAATAGGGAAACAGTCCATCAAAAATTCGGCATCTTGTTTTTCAACCGATGGTCCTTGATACATTTATATAACCTTTGTCCCATAAATGAAAAACAGATGTAAATACTATGTTCACAGTAATAAATATTAAAAACAAAAATATTATGTGTGTATACAGTGAGGGAAAAAAGTATTTGATCCCCTGCTGATTTTGAACGTTTGCCCACTGACAAAGAAATGATCAGTCTATAATTTTAATGGTAGGTTTATTTGAACAGTGAGAGACAGAATAACAACAAAAATCCAGAAAAATGCATGTCAAAAATGTTATAAATTGATTTGCATTTTAATGAGGGAAATAAGTATTTGATCCCCCAATCAGAAAGATTTCTGGCTCCCAGGTGTCTTTTATACAGGTAACGAGCTGAGATTAGGAGCACACTCTTAAAGGGAGTGCTCCTAATCTCAGTTTGTTACCTGTATAAAAGACACCTGTCCACAGAAGCAATCAATCAATCAGATTCCAAACTCTCCACCATGGCCAAGACCAAAGAGCTCTCCAAGGATGTCAGGGACAAGATTGTAGACCTACACAAGGCTGGAATGGGCTACAAGACCATCGCCAAGCAGCTTGGTGAGAAGGTGACAACAGTTGGTGCGATTATTCGCAAATGGAAGAAAACACAAAAGACCTGTCAATCTCCCTCGGCCTGGGGCTCCATGCAAGATCTCACCTCGTGGAGTTGCAATGATCATGAGAACGGTGAGGAATCAGCCCCGAACTACATGGGAGGACCTTGTCAATGATCTCAAGGCAGCTGGGACCATAGTCACCAAGAAAACAATTGGTAACACACTACGCCGTGAAGGACTGAAATCCTGCAGTGCCCGCATGGTCCCCCTGCTCAAGAAAGCACATATACAGGGCCGTCTGAAGTTTGCCAATGAACATCTGAATGATTCAGAGGAGAACTGGGTGAAAGTGTTGTGGTCAGATGAGACCAAAATCGAGCTCTTTGGCATCAACTCAACTCGCCGTGTTTGGAGGAGGAGGAATGCTGCCTATGACCCCAAGAACACCATCCCCACCGTCAAACATGGAGGTGGAAACATTATGCTTTGTGGGTGTTTTTCTGCTAAGGGGACAGGACAACTTCACCGCATCAAAGGGACGATGGACGGGGCCATGTACCATCAAATCTTGGGTGAGAACCTCCTTCCCTCAGCCAGGGCATTGAAACTGGGTCGTGGATGGGTATTCCAGCATGACAATGACCCAAAACACACGGCCAAGGCAACAAAGGAGTGGCTCAAGAAGAAGCACATTAAGGTCCTGGAGTGGCCTAGCCAGTCTCCAGACTTTAGTCCCATAGAAAATCTGTGGAGGGAGCTGAAGGTTTGAGTTACATTTACATTTTAGTCATTTAGCAGACGCTCTTATCCAGAGCGACTTACAGTTAGTCACATTATTATTATACTTAAAAAAAAAAAATGTCATACCCCCTGTGGGAATCGAACCCACAACCCTGGCGTTGCAAATGCCATGCTCTATCAACTGAGCTACATCCCCAGTTGCCAAACGTCAGCCTCGAAACCTTAATGACTTGGTGAAGATCTGCAAAGAGGAGTGGGACAAAATCCCTCCTGAGATGTGTGCAAACCTGGTGGCCAACTACAAGAAACATCTGACCTCTGTGATTGCCAACAAGGGTTTTGCCACCATGTACTTAGTCATGTTTTGCAGAGGGGTCAAATACTTATTTCCCTCATTAAAATGCAAATCAATTTATAACATTTTTGACATGCATTTTTTCTGGATTTTTTTGTTGTTATTCTGTCTCTCACTGTTCAAATAAACCTACCATTAAAATTATAGACTGATCATTTCTTTGTCAGTGGGCAAACGTACAAAATCAGCAGGGGATCAAATACTTTTTTCACTCACTATATATATATATATATGAAAATGGCTGAACAATAAACAATGATGAATCCATTATTTTAATTCCCAAGGCATCGGTAACCATGGCCACTAAGAGTCTGTAATAAATGTGATATCACCTCAAAGATTGTAGTGCATCGCTGTAAAAAAAAAAAAAAAAAAAAAAAAAAAATCATAGTGCAAGTTATTTTCTGCTCGCAATGTCTTTTTTTTTTTGCAACTTCCAAAACAAAAACAAATAGGAATGACAAGGACGACAAACTAAATAGTGTCTAGTACTACTACTAGTTTCTGCATCTCTGTAGTCTTGGCAACAACACGTCCTGTAATGTGTGAAACCATATGCCACTTTCAGGACCAGGCTCTTTTGGAAAATTATTTTGAGACCAACAAGGTAAATAAAACAGCAGTTTTTTACATAACTTCCTCACACGCAGTTGTGATCATAATCATAATTCAAACCGTCATCATTAGTTTGTGTCACGTGTGTGTGTCACGTGTGTGTGTGTACAGTCTGCGTACACAAGTCAGTCAAAGTAATATAAAGGAATGCATAGAAAATAAGAATTACCATTGGTAGCAATGTTCAACTTAATAGGGTTACTGTCATGCAACATGTGACACAGTGCAAGGCAGATACAGTGCCTTGCAAAAATTATTAATTTTATTGTTTTACAAAGTGGAATTAAAAATGGATTTCATTGTGTAATTTTTGGTCAGCAAAGTACTCTGTCAAAGTGGAAGAAAATGTTGAACATTTTTAAGACTGCATAAGTATTCAGCTCCCTGAGTCAATACATGTTAGAATCACCTTTGGCAGAAGATTACGGCTGTGAGTCTTTCTGGGTAATTCTCTAAAGAGCTTTCCACACCTGGATTGTGCAATATTTGCCCATTATTCTTTTCATAATTCTTCAAGCTCTGTCAAAGTGTTGGGGATCGTGGCTAGACAGCCATTTTCAAGTAGATTTAAGTCAAAACTAACTCGGCCACATTCGCAGTCTTCTTGGTAAGCAACTCCAGTGTAGATTTGGCCTTGTGTTTTAGGTTAGGTGAATTCCTCTCCCAGTGTCAGGTGTAAAGCAGAATGAAGCAGGTTTTCCTCTAGGATTATGCCTGTGCTTGGCTCCACCTTGTTTCTCTTCATCCTGAAAAACCTCCCCAGTATTTGCCGATGTCAAGCATACCCATACCATGATGCAGCCACCACCATGCTTGAAAATAAGGAGGCAGTTAGTTACTTAGTGTTGTATTTGCCCCAAACAGAAGGCTTTGCATTTAGGCCAAAAAGTGTTTACACTATTACTTTAGTGCCTTGTTGAATACAAGATGCATGTTTTGGAATATTTGTATTCTGTATATTTGCGTTCTTCTTGTCACTGTCATTTAGGTCATTATTGTGGAGTCACTACAATGTTGTTGATCCATCCTCAGTTTTCTCCCATCACAGCCAATGAACTTGACTGTTTTAAAATCACCAATGGCCTCATGGTAACATCCCTGAACGGTTTCATTTCTTGTCCTGCAGCTCAGTTCAGAAGTACGACCGTATCTTTGTGTCTGGGTGATTTAATACATCACCCACAGCATAATTATTAAGGTGACCAAGCTTAAAGAGATATTCAATGGCTGATTTGTTATCGTTACCCATCTACCAATCACTGCCCTTCTTTATGAGGCTTTTGAAAAGCTCCCTGGTCTTTGTAGTTGAATCTGTGAATTCAACACTTGACTGAGGGACATTACAGATATTGTATGGGGGGACAGAGGATGAGTTAGTCATTCAAAAATAATTTCAACCCCTATTATTTCACACAGAGTGAGTCCATGTAACTTATTACGTGATTTGTTAAGCCTGAACTAATTTAAGCTTGCCTAAACAAAGGGGCTGAATACTTGACACTATATTTTAGTTATAAAATGTGCATTATTCTTTAAAATGTTTGAATTTTTCTTCCACTTTGACATTAGACTACATTGTTGACAATTAAAATCAATTTTAAAATCGCACTTTGAAACACAAAAAAAATTGGAAGAAATCCAAGGGGTATGAATACTTTTGCAAGTTACTGTAGATGTGTGTTCGTGTGTGTACTGCCATCTGCCTCCTCCACCGTCGCTCTTCCCTGGATTCCTTTTCTCCTCAAACATATAGAGAGTGTGTACTGCCATCTGCCTCCTCCACCGTCGCTCTTCCCTGGATTCCTTTTCTCCTCAAACATATAGAGTGTAGAGTCCTAAACAGCACCCTACACTAACCGCTGACCACACACAGACACCGCAATAAGTAGTGCCTTGTCAAAAGTAGTGCACTATTTAGAGAATACGGTGCCATTTGGGATGCAGATATGGGCCTTTTTCTCAATTAGATTTGCTAAACTCCTGCGGCCTCTCCTTTTTTGGAAAAGGTCAAAAGGTAATCGAGAAGAGGGAAAGTGGACGAAAATGCGCTTGTATGAAACTCCCCTTTTACTCTCCTGTGTCATCAGGCAAATGACGTTTACAGGGGTGGATTCCAAAATAAATGTGTAAAGTGATAAAAACCGAATTAAGTTAGTTATGCAAGACATTTTCTAGATAAATGGAGAAGTAGCATGTCGTTTTTAAACGTGCTTTTCTCCTCTCATAATACAACAGCTGATTCAAAAAGGGGGTGCGGCAGATATCAAAACTCTTCTGCGGTAGGATACACTTGTGCTTCCTCGCCAAAAGGAAGCTATCGAGGAGGGTAGGACCGTCTTCCGTTTGCCTACTAATGAACTGACACACTCCTCGACCACTCGACCACTTCTCGGTTTTCCAGGCCACGGAGGAGAGGACAGAGGAGAGACGACAGAGGACAGAGAGGACAAAGGGATATCTTCCTTTCCTCACGGTCTGTCTGCAGGCTGGCCTGCTCCTCGGCCTGCAGTAAGGTGAACCCTGACCTCTGACCTCTGACTGGGTTACTCCCAGGAGGACTAGGGTGTAATCATTAGGGCAGACCGTATACACCCCAGGTTTCAAAATGTTGTGCAACGGAAAACAGAAAAGTCCAGGTAGCCCCTCCCCGTTTCAGACTGTTTCAGTCCGTTTGGTGCCTAATGAACAGGATCCTGTCTCAGGCCCGGTCAGACCTCGGCTCCCAGCTCTATGACCCCAGTCTCTATGATGGGGACCAGTTTATCATCCACCTGAACCAGCAGGATGGTCTTGTCTATATGGGAGCGGCTGGTGAGGTCACGGCTACAAGGCACCCACCGGTGAATCACCTGGAGAGAAGGGTTGGTGACGACGGAGGGGGGAGAGAGAGATAGAGAAGGGTTGGTGACGACGGAGGGGGGAGAGAGAGATAGAGAAGGGTTGGTGACGACGGAGGGGGGAGAGAGAGATAGAGAAGGAAGAGAGAGAAGGGTTGGTGACGGAGACAGCAGAGGGGAGGAAGCATGAAGGAATCGGAAAGAGAGAGAGAAGAGGTGAGTAAGAACAGAAAGTAATTCCTTGATATGTATCGATACATTTAATACTGAATATAATATTGAATACAGCATCAATATATTGAAATTGTATAAAAATGCTAGAAGTGATTCTTGTAAACTTGACTGAGATGAGGGGGGTAGAGGGACTTACATGTCCCTCCATGCCCTCCAGGGGGCGCCAGTCTCTCCAGCAGCTGCGTCCTGCCCTCAGCCTCACCGTCTCGTCGGGCCACTGCAGCTCCTTCCGCTTCGACAGGTTAATGATCTCCAGCACCTGGCTCACATCCACGATCTGGTGGGGTAAGTACATTAAATCACACCTAGTCAGAACAGCACCGTCAAATAACTTTGATTTGACCTTTGTTGGTTTTCTAAAGCAGTGTTTCTCAATAGCCCGGATAAGCACACCTCATTCAACTTATCAAGGGGCTTGAGGACTGGATTTGAGAAACACTGATCTAAAGTAAAGTATCCATCCTACAAATTTCTAAATTACTTGTATGTTTCTTTACCCTGAAAGCAGTCTATGGAAAAGGAAACATAACTTATTTTCTAGTTTAGGTGAACTGTCCCTTTAATACCTCAGAAACAGTTCTATCGAAGCGTTAGGTTTTTCTCCTGACCAACCTGCACTCTGTAGGAGATGTCGTCTCGTCGTACGGTGGACAGAGCCGGGTTGTGTTGGTTGTGGTGATGGTGTTGACCCAGCGGGTCAGCCATGGCGCTACACAGCCCGTCGTTCCCCAGCAGGCCCACTAGGGTATGTCTCTTACAGGGTGGGATACTGTGGGAGGAGAGTGAGGCGGAGGGGTCCGAGGAGGACCCTGAGCCCAGGCGGAGCTGCAGGGAGGTGGGGAGGGTGCGGAGGGACAGCTGGCTGGTGGAGGAGCGCCGGCAGGGCTCCAGGCCTGTGGCCGAGGTACGGAGAGATGAGTGGCGGCTGCTGTTATAGCGGTACGATGAGGACTGGCTGGTTACGGAGGCTCGGGCTGGGGAGTGGTGCACCAGGCCAGATTGAACCGACTGGGAGCTCTGACTGGTGCCTGGATGGAGAGGACAGGAGAGATACAGGTTAGTTGGTGCCTGTATGGAGAGATACAGGTTAGTTGGTGCCTGTATGGAGAGATACAGGTTAGTTGGTGCCTGGATGGAGAGGACAGGAGAGATACAGGTTAGTTGGTGCCTGGATGGAGAGGACAGGAGAGATACAGGTTAGTTGGTGCCTGGATGGAGAGGACAGGAGAGATACAGGTTAGTTGGTGCCTGTGGATCAGGAGAGATACAGGTTAGTTGGTGCCTGATGGAGAGGACAGAGAGATACAGGTTAGTTGGTGCCTGGATGGAGAGGACAGGAGAGATACAGGTTAGTTGGTGCCTGGATGGAGAGGACAGGAGAGATACAGGTTAGTTGGTGCCTGTATGGAGAGGACAGGAGAGATACAGGTTAGTTGGTGCCTGGATGGAGAGGACAGGAGAGATACAGGTTAGTTGGTGCCTGGATGGAGAGGACAGGAGAGATACAGGTTAGTTGGTGCCTGTATGGAGAGGACAGGAGAGATACAGGTTAGTTGGTGCCTGTATGGAGAGGACAGGAGAGATACAGGTTAGTTGGTGCCTGTATGGAGAGGACAGGAGAGATACAGGTTAGTTGGTTGGCCTGTATGGAGAGGACAGGAGAGATACAGGTTAGTTGGTGCCTGTATGGAGAGGACAGGAGAGATACAGGTTAGTTGGTGCCTGTATGGAGAGGACAGGAGAGATACAGGTTAGTTGGTGCCTGTATGGAGAGACAGGAGAGATACAGGTTAGTTGTGCCTGGGAGACGAGGATCAGGTTATGGTGCCTGGATGGAGAGGACAGGAGAGATACAGGTTAGTTGGTGCCTGTATGGAGAGGACAGGAGAGATACAGGTTAGTTTTGGTGCCTGTATGGAGAGGACAGGAGAGATACAGGTTAGTTGGTGCCTGATGGAAGGACAGGAGAGATACAGGTTAGTTGGTGCCTGGATGGAGAGGACAGGAGAGATACAGGTTAGTTGGTGCCTGGATGGAGAGGACAGGAGAGATACAGGTTAGTTGGTGCCTGTATGAAGGACAGGGGAGATACGTTAGTGGTGCCTATGGAGGACGATACAGGTTAGTTGGTGCCTGTATGGAGAGGACAGGAGAGATACAGGTTAGTTGGTGCCTGTATGGAGAGGGACAGGAGAGATACAGGTTAGTTGGTGCCTGATGGAGAGGACAGGAGAGATACAGGTTAGTTGGTGCCTGGATGGAGAGGACAGGAGAGATACAGGTTAGTTGGTGCCTGTATGGAGAGGACAGGAGATACAGGTTAGTTTGGTGCCTGTATGGAGAGGACAGGAGAGATACAGGTTAGTTGGTGCCTGTATGGAGAGGACAGGAGAGATACAGGTTAGTTGGTGCCTGTATGGAGAGGAGAGAGATACAGGTTAGTTGGTGCCTGTATGGAGAGATGGCAGGAGAGATACAGGTTAGTTGGTGCCTGATGGAGAGGACAGGAGAGATACAGGTTAGTTGGTGCCTGGATGGAGAGGACAGGAGAGTACAGGTTAGTTGGTGCCTGTATGGAGAGGACAGGAGAGATACAGGTTAGTTGGTGCCTGTATGGAGAGGACAGGGAGAGATACAGGTTAGTTGGTTGCCTGTATGGAGAGGACAGGAGAGATACAGGTTAGTTGGTGCCTGTATGGAGGATACAGGTAGTTGGTGCCTGTATGGAGAGATACAGGGGGATAGAGGTAGTTGGTGCTGTATGGAGAGGACAGGAGAGATACAGGTTAGTTGGTGCCTGGATGGAGAGGACAGGAGAGATACAGGTTAGTTGGTGCCTGTATGGAGAGACAGGAGAGATACAGGTTAGTTGGTGCCTGTATGGAGAGGACAGGAGAGATACAGGTTTAGTTGGTGCCTGGATGGAGAGGACAGGAGAGATTACAGGTTAGTTGGTGCCTGGATGGAGAGGACAGGAAAGATAGAGGTTAGTTGGTGCCTGTTATGGAGAGGACAGGAGAGATACAGGTTAGTTGGTGCCTGGATGGAGAGGACAGGAGAGATACAGTAGTTGGTGCATGGAGATACAGGTTAGTTGTGCCTGTATGGAGAGGACAGGAGAGATACAGGTTAGTTGGTGCCTGTATGGAGAGGACAGGAGAGATACAGGTTAGTTGGTGCCTGGATGGAGAGGACAGGAGAGATACAGGTTAGTTGGTGCCTGGATGGAGAGGACAGGAGAGATACAGGTTAGTTGGTGCCTGGATGGAGAGGACAGGAGAGATACAGGTTAGTTGGTGCCTGTATGGGAGGACAGGAGAGATACAGGTTAGTTGGTGCCTGTATGGAGAGGACAGGAGAGATACAGGTTAGTTGGTGCCTGTATGGAGAGGACAGGAGAGATACAGGTTAGTTGGTGCCTGTATGGAGAGGACAGGAGAGATACAGGTTAGTTGGTGCCTGTATGGAGAGGACAGGAGAGATACAGGTTAGTTGGTGCCTGGATGGAGAGGACAGGAGAGATACAGGTTAGTTGGTGCCTGTATGGAGAGGACAGGAGAGATACAGGTTAGTTGGTGCCTGTATGGAGAGGACAGAGAGATACAGGTTAGTTGGTGCCTGTATGGAGAGGACAGGAGAGATACAGGTTAGTTGGTGCCTGTATGGGGAGGACAGGAGAGATACAGGTTAGTTGGTGCCTGTATGGAGAGGACAGGAGAGATACAGGTTAGTTGGTGCCTGTATGGAGAGGACAGGAGAGATACAGGTTAGTTGGTGCCTGGATGGAGAGGACAGGAGAGATACAGGTTAGTTGGTGCCTGTATGGAGAGGACAGGAGAGATACAGGTTAGTTGGTGCCTGTATGGAGAGGACAGAGAGATACAGGTTAGTTGGTGCCTGTATGGAGAGGACAGGAGAGATACAGGTTAGTTGGTGCCTGGATGGAGAGAGGAGAAGATACAGGTTAGTTGGTGCCTGTATGGAGAGGACAGGAGAGATACAGGTTAGTTGGTGCCTGTATGGAGAGGACAGGAGAGATACAGGTTAGTTGGTGCCTGTATGAGGGAGAGGATACAGGTTAGTTGGTGCCTGATGAGAGGACAGGAGAGATACAGGTTAGTTGGTGCCTGTATGGAGAGGACAGGAGAGATACAGGTTAGTTGGTGCCTGTATGGAGAGGACAGGAGAGATACAGGTTAGTTGGTGCCTGTATGGAGAGATACAGGTTAGTTGGTGCCTGATGGAGAGGACGGGAGATACAGGTTAGTTGGTGCCTGTATGGAGAAGGAGACAGGAGGCCAGAGAGACAGGATAAGTTAGTGGTGCCTGATGGAGAGGACAGGAGAGATACAGGTTAGTTGGTGCCTGTATGGAGAGGACAGGTAGTTGTGCCTGAGGAAGAGGATACAGGTTAGTTGGTGCCTGTATGGAGAGGACAGGAGAGATACAGGTTAGTTGGTGCCTGGATGGAGAGGACAGGAGAGATACAGGTTAGTTGGTGCCTGTATGGAAGTGGGACAGGAGAGATACAGGTTAGTTGGTGCCTGTATGGAGAGGACAGGAGAGATACAGGTTAGTTGGTGCCTGGTATGGAGAGACAGGAGAGATACAGGTTAGTTGGTGCTGTGGATGGAGGAAAATACAGGTTAGTTGGTGCCTGTATGGAGAGGACAGGAGAGATACAGGTTAGTTGGTGCCTGTGATGGAGAGTCAGGTAGTGGCTGTAGGAGAGAATACAGGTTAGTTGGTGCCTGTATGGAGAGGACAGGAGAGATACAGGTTAGTTGGTGCCTGTATGGAGAGGACAGGAGAGATACAGGTTAGTTGGTGCCTGTATGGAGAGGACAGGAAGATACAGGTTAGTTGGTGCCTGGATGGAGAGGACAGGAGAGATACAGGTCGTTAGTTTGGGTGCCTGTATGGAGAGGACAGGAGAGATACAGGTTAGTTGGTGCCTGTATGGAGAGAGGACAGGAGAGATACAGGTTAGTTGGTGCCTGTATGGAGAGGACAGGAGAGATACAGGTTAGTTGGTGCCTGTATGGAGAGGACAGGAGAGATACAGGTTAGTTGGTGCCTGTATGGAGAAAGGACGAGGAGAGATACAGGTTAGTTGGTGCCTGTATGGAGAGGACAGAGAGATACAGGTTAGTTGGTGCCTGTATGGAGAATACAGGTTAGTTGGTGCCTGTATGGAGAGGACAGGAGAGATACAGGTTAGTTGGTGCCTGTATGGAGAGGACAGGAGAGATACAGTTGTTGGTCCTGAGGAGAGACGATCAGTTATGGTGCGTATGGAAGATACAGGTTAGTTGGTGCCTGTATGGAGAGATACAGGTTTAGTTGGTGCCTGTATGGAGAGATACAGGTTAGTTGGTGCCTGTATGGAGAGGACAGGAGAGATACAGGTTAGTTGGTGCCTGTATGGAGAGATACAGGTTAGTTGGTGCCTGTATGGAGAGATACAGGTTAGTTGGTGCCTGTATGGAGAGATACAGGTTAGTTGGTGCCTGTATGGAGAGATACAGGTTAGTTGGTGCCTGTATGGAGAGGACAGGAGAGATACAGGTTAGTTGGTGCCTGTATGGAGAGGACAAGAGAGATACAGGTTAGTTGGTGCCTGTATGGAGAGGAGAGAAGATCACCAGGTCAGATGGGAACACATCAGAATTCTTCAATAACAAACTGGTCAAGTGGCACACAGTTTTTTGTTTTAGAGATGTGTTTATTTTCAGTTAATTCAGGAAATTCCTTTTACATTTCAGAATTGAAAAGGACTCACCCCAGCCCTGGTGGTGGTGTCCATGGTGATGTACGTGGTGGTGGTCCTCACCCATATTGTGTGGCTGGTAGGCCAGGGGAGCGGCCGGTCCAGACAGCCCCCCCTGGGACACCGAGCTCTGCTGGGAGTCACCGCTCAGCCCTGTCCCGTTACCACTGGCACAGGACAAGCCCCCTGCATCAGAGTCCTCAATGTTCCCACCACTGTTACAGCCAGCACCACAGCCCTTACGCAATCTAGAGAGAGAGAGAGGGGGGGGGGGGGGGGTGAAGACAGAGAGAGAGATGGGGGGGAGCGAGGGGTAGAAGAGAATGAGAGAGATGGGAGAGGGCGGAAGAGAGAGAGAGGGGAGAGAGAAATGGGGAACAGAGAGAGCGAGAGCGAGGGGGAGAGAGGGGGGAACAGACAGAGGGAGAGAGATGGGGGGGAACAGAGAGAGAGGGGGAGAGAGAGAGAGAAGGCGAGAGAGGGGGAAGGAGGGAGGGGGAACAGAGAGAGAGAGAGAGAGAGAGTAAGAGAGAGATGGGGGGGAACAGATCGAGAGAGCAAGCGGGATCATCCGGCTGGCTAAATCTGGCACATTTACAGAATCGTTGACTAATGTGCATTGAACCTGACTAATAAACCTATTAAGTAAAGTCCATTGCTCTAACTGTGGTTGGATTACAGAAGGAACGTTCAGAGAGGACACAGTGACACCCCACTGGCACAAATAATGACAGAAATACATCAACAGGTGTTTTACAGTAACCAGGCCAACACCCCATAAAGCAAGCACAGGCCAGGCCACCCCAAAAAGCAAGCACAGTGTTTTACAGTAACCAGGCCAAACACCCCAAAAAGCAAGCACAGTGTTTTACAGTAACCAGGCCAACACCCCAAAAAGCAAGCCCAGTGTTTTACAGTAACCAGGCCAACACCCCATAAAGCAAGCACAGTGTTTTACAGTAACCAGGCCAACACCCCATAAAGCAAGCACAGTGTTTTACAGTAACCAGGCCAACACCCCATAAAGCAAGCACAGTGTTTTACAGTAACCAGGCCAACACCCCATAAAGCAAGCACAGTGTTTTACAGTAACCAGGCCAACACCCCAAAAAGCAAGCACAGTGTTTTACAGTAACCAGGCCAACACCCCATAAAGCAAGCACAGTGTTTTACAGTAACCAGGCCAACACCCCATAAAGCAAGCACAGTGTTTTACAGTAACCAGGCCAACACCCCATAAAGCAAGCACAGTGTTTTTACAGTAACCAGGCCAACACCCCATAAAGCAAGCACCGTGTTTTACAGTAACCAGGCCAACACCCCAAAAAGCAAGCACAGTGTTTTACAGTAACCAGGCCAACACCCCAAAAAGCAAGCACAGTGTTTTACAGTAACCAGGCCAACACCCCAAAAAGCAAGCACAGTGTTTTACAGTAACCAGGCCAACACCCCAAAAAGCAAGCACAGTGTTTTACAGTAACCAGGCCAACACCCCAAAAAGCAAGCAGAACCACAGTGGCAAGTTAACTCCCTAGAATACATTTTAGAGAGAGGGGGTGCTTCCCAATAATTTCTCCTTCCTCCTGAAGTGTACACTCCTTCACTGCTTCACTCCTTCACTGCTTCCCACAAATCTAAAAGCATTGGCTTGGTAGAGGCATGGGTTAAATGGGAGTTTCCACCAATATTCTTATACCAGTCATTGCTTTTTCAATTAGTGAAGGGAAGTGAACAAGTGTACACTTTGGGACATACCCAGAATCCTACCTGTGCCAGGTACTGACGATGAAGTTCCTTATATTCCCGATGCTGATAGGTCCTCCCAGGATGTGACCTAGCTGTGTGTGGGAGTTGCAATAGGACGTAGTCAGGGGCGACACGTAGATGGGGTATCCAATGGGCTGGTCACATGAGGAGTTGATCATGTTGCGTAGCGCCTGTTTGGCGTTCTGGATGCTTCCGCGTTCCGGGTTCCTGTTCCGTAAGAAAACCAGCTCCTGCTGCTGTCCCGCCCACAAACCACGGACACACTCCTTATTCACCTGCAGGAGGACGATCACACAGAATCAATTCAGATAGTTCATACAGTTTAAAAAAACGACTTCATTCTATAGTCCCCTTGTGTAACACATCACATATCCTTAAAGCTCACTGCCTGAAGTTCATGAATGTCCAGTATAAATGACAACATGTGAAGTTGAGCAAAGTCTTGTTTCTGCCTAATCAACAGCTGGTTTCCTCCCTCTCCTCTCATCCTACTCAATGTATCTTTCCCCCGCATGTTTCTTTCAGTACTTCCTCTGGTTCAGGCTTCTGCTGACGTTGGTCAACACTGGCCTCCCTTCGCTCTCTCTCGTGGTCTCCTCTCCTTGCTAAGCTCTGTCCTGGCCTCCCTTCTCTCTCTCTCTCTCCTCTTCTTCCTAAGCTCTGTCCTGGCCTCCCATCTCTCTCCTCTTCTTCCTAAGCTCTGTCCTGGCCTCCCTTTTCTCTCCTCTTCTTCCTAAGCTCTGTCCTGGCCTCCCATCTCTCTCCTCTTCTTCCTAAGCTCTGTCCTGGCCTCCCTTCTCTCTCTCTCTCCTCTCCTTCCTAAGCTCTGTCCTGGCCTCCCTTCTCTCTCCTCTCCTTCCTAAGCTCTGTCCTGGCCTCCCTTCTCTCTCTCTCTCCTCTCCTTCCTAAGCTCTGTCCTGGCCTCCCTTCTCTCTCCTCTCCTTCCTAAGCTCTGTCCTGGCCTCCCTTCTCTCTCTCTCTCTCTCTCCTCTTCTTCCTAAGCTCTGTCCTGGCCTCCCATCTCTCTCCTCTTCTTCCTAAGCTCTGTCCTGGCCTCCCTTCTCTCTCCTCTTCTTCCTAAGCTCTGTCCTGCCTCCCTTCTCTCTCTCTCTCTCTCTCCTCTTCTTCCTAAGCTCTGTCCTGGCCTCCCATCTCTCTCCTCTTCTTCCTAAGCTCTGTCCTGGCCTCCCTTCTCTCTCTCTCTCTCTCTCCTCTTCTTCCTAAGCTCTGTCCTGGCCTCCCATCTCTCTCCTCTTCTTCCTAAGCTCTGTCCTGGCCTCCCATCTCTCTCCTCTTCTTCCTAAGCTCTGTCCTGGCCTCCTTTCTCCTCTGTCACCAGGTCTGTCGCACCTTGATGACCCTGAAGCTGAGGTATCGTCTGTTGAGCATGATGATCTTGTACTCGTTGGTTCCCTCGTCCAGGACGTGGCGCAGGGCGAGTAGTGAGGGCGAGTTGGAGAGCACGGCGCTGCGCCAGGCCGGGTCACCCTCGTGGGCGATCACCAGGTTCTGCTGGTGAGACGAGATGGCCTGGAACAGAACCACTGGTTCGTCATACTCATCTGGAGATGTGAAATGGTCCTGGGAGAGAAAGAGAGAGGAGAGAGTTACTTAAAGATACACTATGGAAGTCCAATGAGGTGGTTACTGGACAATATTTCTGTTCATTTATGCGACACCTTTTGGGTCAATAGCACCCCAGAGGAAAACGTTCTGTAGAGCTTCTTTAACAGTCCAACATGTTATAAATGAGCTTTGCAACAAAGTAAACCACTATAGGGGTTTTGGTTGAGACTTAACTAGAGCAATACAGAGTTGACATGGAACAGGTTTCCCTGTCCTACTCAAACAGCTAGTACAGATGGAGCCGCCCTCACCTGGTGTGGTTTGAGTGACATGCGTATCCCAGGTAACTCTCACCTGGTGTAGTTTGAGTGACATGCGTATCCCAGGTAACTCTCACCTGGTGTAGTTTGAGTGACATGCGTATCCCAGTAACTCTCACCTGGTGTAGTTTGAGTGACATGCGTATCCCAGGTAACTCTCACCTGGTGTAGTTTGAGTGACATGCGTATCCCAGGTAACTCTCACCTGGTGTAGTTTGAGTGACATGCGTATCCCAGGTAACTCTCACCTGGTGTAGTTTGAGTGACATGCGTATCCCAGGTTAACTCTCACCTGGTGTAGTTTGAGTGACATGCGTATCCCAGGTAACTCTCACCTGGTGTAGTTTGAGTGACATTGCGTATCCCAGGTAACTCTCACCTGGTGTAGTTTGAGTGACATGCGTATCACCAGGTAACTCTCACCTGGTGTAGTTTGAGTGACATGCGTATCCCAGGTAACTCTCACCTGGTGTAGTTTGAGGTGACATGCGTATCCCAGGTAACTCTCACCTGGTGGTAGTTTGATGACATGCGTATCCCAGGTAACTCTCACCTGGTGTAGTTTAGTGACATGCGGTATCCCAGGTAACTCTCACCTGGTGTAGTTTGAGTGACATGCGTATCCCAGGTAACTCTCACCTGGTGTAGTTTGAGTGACATGCGTATCCAGGTAACTCTCACTGGTGTAGTTTGAGTGACTGCGTATCCCAGGTAACTCTCACCTGGTGTAGTTTGAGTGACATGCGTATCCCAGGTAACTCTCACCTGGTGTAGTTTGAGGTGACATGCGTATCCCAGGTAACTCTCACCTGGTGTAGTTTGAGTGACATGCGATCCCAGGTAACTCTCACCTGGTGTAGTTTGAGTGACATGCGGATCCCAGGTAACTCTCACCTGGTGTAGTTTGAGTGACATGCGGATCCCAGGTAACTCTCACCTGGTTGTAGTTTGAGTGACATGCGGATCCCAGGTAACTCTCACCTGGTGTAGTTTGAGTGACATGCGTATCCCAGTAACTCTCACCTGGTGTAGTTTGAGTGACATGCGGGATCCCAGGTAACTCTCACCTGGTGTAGTTTGAGTGACATGCGGATCCCAGGTAACTCTCACCTGGTGTAGTTTGAGTGACACTGCGGATCCCAGGTAAACTCTCACCTGGTGTAGTTTTGAGTGACATGCGGATCCCAGGTAACTCTCACCTGGTGTAGTTTTGAGTGACATGCGGGATCCCAGGTAACTCTCACCTGGTGTAGTTTGAGTGACATGCGGATCCCAGGTAACTCTCACCTGGTGTAGTTTGAGTGACATGCGGATCCCAGGCACCACCACCTTCCTCAGGAGTTCCATGTCGGCAAAGACCCACTCATCTCTCACCGAGGAGATCCGGAAGTCTCCCTTGAACAGAGCGTGGAGCCCATACAGGAAAGACTCCAGGTTACTGAGTAGAGGAGAGGGACACACGGGAGAGACCCCCACAGGGGAGAGGGACACAGGGGAGAGGGACACAGGGGAGAGGGACACAGGGGAGAGGGACACAGGGGAGAGGGGACACAGGGGAGAGGGACACAGGGGAGAGGGACACAGGGGAGAGGGACACAGGGGAGAGGGACACAGGGGAGAGGGACACAGGGGAGAGGGACACAGGGGAGAGGGACACAGGGGAGAGGGACACAGGGGAGAGGGACACAGGGGAGAGGGACACAGGGGAGAGGGACACAGGGGAGAGGGACACACGGGAGAGGGACACACGGGAGAGGGACACACGGGAGAGGGACACACGGGAGAGGGACACACGGGAGAGGGACACACGGGAGAGGGACACACGGGAGAGGGACACAGGGGAGAGGGACACAGGGGAGAGGGACACACAAGTCATGAAATGGTAACAAAATATAAAAAAACTCAAAAACAAAATAGCTGTGTTGGAATACCCATAGTACACACTGTACACTACCACACTGTACACTACCACACTCTACACACTCTACACTACCACACTCTACACTACCACACTGTACACTACCATACTGTACACTACAGTATATACTACATACTATTAGTTCATTATAGTATACTGTAATCAAACATTATCCTTTCAGTTGAGTGTACTAGCACTTCGCCTGTGTACCGGACGTTGATGCTGTTGCTATGCAACCTCTTGCTAGCTTGTTAGCATAACAAATGACTAGCTAGACATTTTACGATTTCATTAACAATGTCCATTGAGAATGCACAACGACTATACCACTTAGCTAAGCTAAGAATGACGTGAATAATCAATTGAATAAACGTTGGGTAGTTAGTTAGATAGCATATAGTTAATATACTGGCAAGTTCCATCTTTTAGTAGCCAACTAACGTTAGGTAGCTAGCTAACATACAAGCAACTGCTGTAATGATATGCTATGCAGTTCGTAAGGGTAGCGTAGCTAACAAACTGTCAGGCGAATGTAGTACGACATCCGGGAACTTTTAGCATACTAACTATATCTATACTATGACCAATAAGCATACATTTTAAATTTTTTACATTTTAGTCATTTAGCAGACGCTCTTATCCAGAGCGACTTACAGTGAGTGCATACATATTTTTATTTTTCATACTGGCCCCCCGTGGGAATCGAACCCACAACCCTGGCGTTGCAAACGCCATGCTCTACCAACATCCCTGCCGGCCATTCCCTCCCCTACCCTGGACGACGCTGGGCCAATTGTGCGCCGCCCCATGGGTCTCCCGGTCACGGCCGGCTACGACAGAGCCTGGATTCGAACCAGGATCTCTAGTGGCACAGCTAGCACTGCGATGCAGTGCATTAGACCACTGCGCCACTCGGGAGACATACTACATACTCAATTTAAGTCACAAATATTATGGTTAGTATGAGTATTCGAACACAGCTACTGTCTCAGGAAATCACCAAATGTATTAATTAGAAAGGCCACATCCTCTATGTGATGAGCAGAGATACTGATGTATCCATGTCTGTTACACACTGCACTATGGTTGCAAAATTCCAGTCACTTTTCAAAAATTCCCAGGTTTCTCTGAAATCCTGGTTGGAAGATTCCCCGAATCAGGAGGGATTTCTGGACAACCTGAATTTTGCAACCCTACTCCGCAGTGACAGACAGTCAGTCTCACCTAGACATGTGGTGTGCAGCGGTCCCCAGTGCTCTCCTGCCCAGCACACACAGGCCGAAGCACAGCAACACCAGGGAAGAGTCCTTCTCACTGTCCAGAGGCTGCAAAGGAGATGAGATTAGAAGGAGAGATGGTTAGTTTAGAGGAGAGATGGATAGTTTAGAGAGGAGGTTCAGAGGAGAGATGGATAGTTTAGAGAGGAGGTTCAGAGGAGAGATGGATAGTTCAGAGGAGAGATGGATAGTTTAGAGAGGAGGTTCAGAGGAGAGATGGATAGTTTAGAGAGGAGGTTCAGAGGAGAGATGGATAGTTTAGAGAGGAGGTTTAGAGGAGAGATGGATAGTTTAGAGAGGAGGTTCAGAGGAGAGATGGATAGTTTAGAGAGGAGGTTCAGAGGAGAGATGGATAGTTTAGAGAGGAGGTTCAGAGGAGAGATGGATAGTTTAGAGAGGAGGTTCAGAGGAGAGATGGATAGTTTTAGAGAGG